GTTTATCAGTGATTTCGGTATGAGAAATATATTGATCAATGTATCCAGATGTGGAATCTTACCTGTGTGTTAAACTTTACTCTAGTCTGTCGCCAAATTAGCTTTGCGACAAGATTCAAATAGAGCGGCTCACATACCCAAGATAGTAAAGATTTTTGGTAGGTGGTGTGAAACCTGCGTCCATCTTTCAAATAACAGTTAAGGCTAGTTTAAATGGTCTTACAATCTAATTCTTCTTTTAACCAGTAAAACATTTAAATGTCAGGTGGTCAGTTTCACTTTCAGACGTAAACGTGACCTACAACAACTAGTTAGCTCACATGGCCCCACTCTCATTGACGGCACAGAGGTTGAAAATACATCTAATGTCAACTAACTTGGGCTGAGTTTTTCCACCGATCTTTCCTGGTTCTCCCACATCTTGCTAGTTACTAGAAAGATGTTTCGCTCAACGTTCTACCTCAGGAAGTTTAGGCAGTCTGGCATAAAGCAGTCTTTGCTTTCTCAGTTTGTAATATCTTGTATTCTACCCATCCTCCTTTACTGCTCCCCATTAATCTTTCCTGGACTACTTAAGAAAGACTTTGCTTTGCTGAGAAGGGCACTAAAAGCCGTTAGTAGGGCAAGTGGTTAACACTGTTGTGGATCGACATATAATGTCATGTAAGAAACTAGCGAATACAATATTGTCAGACCCCAAGCATCCTCTCTATACGCAGCTGTCTCCTTGCATCTCATCTGGTAGAACTAGAAGCAGCTATAGGAGGCTATATGCTAGAACTAACAAATACAAAATCTCCACAATACCATATCTGGCACAGCTGTTATGTGATGAGAAATCCGTTAGGTATGACACGATCAACTTACTGCGGCACTCTAACAAATAGTCCCATTAGTTTTTGTTTTCCTTACCTCGTTACTATTACACTGTTGTTCTCATCTTCTATCACACATCAACTTTATATTTCATATCCTGTGGTGCATTGTTTAAAAAGTAAACGCAACCCTGTTCTTTTTTTATCTACTTTTTTATTTGTCTTCAGTTTTCTGGGGTGTTACTTTTTGAATTTAAAATCTTATGAAATTTATCAGATAATTAGATTAGATGCAATATATTGTAATGCACGCTGAAAATTCCATACCTGTACCACAAATACTGTTTGGAATAAAGCTGTTGATTATTATTATTAAATCATCAATAAGAACAGTATCCATATAAACTATGATAAGAACTCCGTTTCCTTTGTGATGTTTCTTGGGTGTTCAGCAGTATCTTCAAAACCACTGAATACTTTTCATGTCATTTCTATGCCTTTTTCATAATAGGTAATATAAATAACATTAATGGAATCACACAGATATTGAGAAATAGAAGATAATAATAACAGATAGTATCCATACTGATACTATGGCAACTAGGAGTGACTTTGAAGACTATCTCAAACAAATAAACTTCCCAAATGACAATATCATAGTTGAATGAACTTTATCCTATAGGTTACATTGTGGGAAATCAGATTGGTATAAAATGAAGTTTAAAGGAATATCTGAACAACCGGATTTCCAGTCACCGAGAGAATGGCAGCCTAATTAATTCTTAAACTGAAGGATGTTCATTTGACTGTTGTTTTTATCGTGGGCGTTTAGTGCTGAAGAGATTCAAACTGGGGGAAAACATTCTGTTATAACTGCAGGGAATTGAATGATAGACGTTTTCACCTTATTCTGTCTGCGCCTGAACTAATCTGTCTATCTGCTCGTCGTACCTTCCGACTTGGTAAAGCACGCAAATATCAAAAGACAAAGGCTGGACTGTGACTGTGTATTGAAGTGCAACAACGATAAAGAAAGCCATGGTATTTATACATTTTACAACAATATGGACAGCTAACAGCATTTGAAATAATTGACCTTAATAGCCAATAACAAAGTGTGTGAGAAATGATAATATGCCATATGTGCGACATTGACAGTCAGTAACAAAATGTGTGGGAATGATATACCATATATACAAAATTAGCAGTCACTACCAAAATGCGTGAGAATGATAATATACAAAATTAGCAGTCACTACCAAAATGCGTGAGAATGATAACATACCATAAATGCAAGTTTAAACAGTCAATACCAAAATATGTGGGATCCTATCACCTCCCCCCGTAAAGAGTGTAGGACTTGCTTTTTGGATCTATTTGAAAAGGTTTCGGAGCTCTTCTTTGTCGAGTTGACCTTTGCGTGGTACTGGATAGAGCGTGATCTGTGTGTCTGCCACATAACTGTCCTTTTTCATTCGTACGATAATGCAGCAAGAATTTATCCAAAATTTTTTCTGTTGTTCCCTCCCCCTTCGCTTTTGCATAAGCACGCTTAAAGGTGTCGACGAAACGTTCAGTAATAGTTGACGTAGGAGGGACACTGTTGCAATTGATGTGGCAGAATGCATAGGAAATATCTCTGGCCATTTGGAAAACGCGTCGACACATATTAAGAAATGCATACTATTGAACGGTCCAGCGAAGTCAACATGAACACGGGACCATGGTTTGTCCGGTCGTGGCCAGGAACATAGTTCTGTCTTGCGTGGACACTTTGATGCTTGAGCACATTTACTACACTTGCGAACGAGGTCTTCGATATGGTCATCGATGTTGGGCCAGTAAACATAACTGCGAGCGATCGCCTTCATTCTCCCAACACCAGGATGTGATATATGAAGCTGCCGAAGCACATGGTCACGAAGATTAGCTGGAACGACAACACGATCAGCAAACATTATGCATCCATTAACGATGGATAGGGATTTGCGTCGCTGGTAAAACTGTTTTAAAACATTTGAATGAACATGTGGAGGCCAGCCAAATCGGATGAACTTTGATACTTGCTGTAAAACTGGATCACGCAGTGTGTGTCTGGCAACCTCAACTGCAGTCACCGGAAGATCGTCCAGAGAGATAGACATTATAATTGGGTTGTAATTAACACAGTCAAAAATGTTATATAGTTGCGCTGAACAGAATAAAAACTGTCGTCGTTTGCGTGCTATAACTGCGATGAATTAAAGTAAACCTCGTCGCCAATTGTTATATCTTGCTCTGTCTGCGCCTGAACTTATATGTTATATAGTTGCGCTGAACAGAATAAAAACTGTCGTCGTTGCGTGCTATAACTGCGATGAATTAAAGTAAATCCCGTCGCCAATTTTTATAACTGCACTGAATTAAGGTAAAACCCCGTCGCCAATTTGTTATAACTGTAGGGAATTGAATGAAGACGTTTTCACCTTATTCTGTCTGCGCCTGAACTAATCTGTCTATCTGCTCGTCGTACCTTCCGACTTGGTAAAGCACGCAAATATCAAAAGACAAAGGCTGGACTGTGACTGTGTATTGAAGTGCAACAACGATAAAGAAAGCCATGGTATTTATACATTTTACAACAATATGGACAGCTAACAGCATTTGAAATAATTGACCTTAATAGCCAATAACAAAGTGTGTGAGAAATGAGAATATGCCATATGTGCGACATTGACAGTCAGTAACAAAATGTGTGGGAATGATATATACCATATATACAAAATTAGCAGTCACTACCAAAATGCGTGAGAATGATGATATACAAAACTAGCAGTCACTACCAAAATGCGTGAGAATGATAACATACCATAAATGCAAGTTTAAACAGTCAATACCAAAATATGTGGGATCCTATCACATTCAAACGAATGAAAATCCCAATTAAACTTAAAATATAATTGTCACTCATTTGTTAATCAGTAGATATAGGCTTGATGTCATGAGAACTCATAGCGAGTGGTGTACACCGCATGAGGGTGAAGCGGATGACTACTAATGTCTATTAGTACCATCTCATAAGTTAAAAGTAGTTACAATCCATTGTTAATAAATGCTAGATTAGTGGGCTCAATGACCAAAGGACTAGTTTCCTAACCTAAAGGTTTTAAAACCCGGATGGGACCATGTGTGTGCACAGTTGAAGAGGTGAAAACTGCAATGAAACATCTGTGTGGCGCTCTCTGAATCTCAATAACTCTCTGACTTATATAGTTTTCCCTTGAAATCTGTCTAGAAATCAATTGAATCGCCAGTGAACAGATATTTGGGAATAAACATCCTGGTGTATTTAAATTACTCAAAGATTTAAAATTCAGTAGTGCATTGACAGACAATTAAAATAATTTAATAATTCCTATTGTAGCATTAAGAACACAATATATTCAGCGAAGAGACTCTTTTCAATGAATTTATTATCAAGCTGTATAGTCGTACATATATGGTTTTTAGGAAATTATATCCGGTGAGGGAATTAGGTCAAAGGTGTGAATACATGAAATAATAATAGTAGTAGTATAAAATGCAATTAAAATATTTGTGATTATAATCATAGTTTAATGTCAAGTAGCAAAACAACTGATGTCATATATAGAATACTTCATAAGGTGTATAGATTTTGGAAAGGGGTACATAATTATAAGATTAGTAGACGAATATGAAATGTTGCACAACATGGTGTGAGATCTGATACGATAAAATTCAATATTGTAAAAATAAAAAATAAAAATAATTTTGGGTTTAAAATGACAAGTGAGTCAAGTGGAAAAGATTCAGAGTGAGAATAGTAATAATGATAATAATACTAAACGTAGTAATAAGGGAAAAGTACATAGAATAACTAAATAAACAAAATAAATAAATGTCTATCCCTCTACGGCCAAGGCAGAAATAGGGATTGTACACAAAGGTATCTGGCTTAAAGTCATGAATTGTCAGGGGCTCCGTTGTCTTTAGAAGTCTGTAACGAAGAAAACGCCACGAGCAAGTTAGCATGGATTCTATGTATTGATCTTAAAATCATGATCAGGGTTGACAGAGTCACAGGAGTCGATCAGGTGTTCCAGAAAATAGAGCTTCGCATACACTTACTTCCATTGTTCCTTGTAAAATCATGCTGGAATTAAAACATTCACTCTAGTTTTAAATTTATTCAAAAAACTCAACATTTGAAAAACAAAACACTTTGAACATCACTGGTCGCTGATGATTACTACTACTACTACTACTACTACTACTACTACTACTACTACTACTACTACTACTACTACTACTACTACTACTACTACTACTACTACTACTACTACTACTACTACTACTACTACTACTACTACTACTACTACTACTACTACTACTACTACTACTACTACTACTACTACTACTACTACTACTACTACTACTACTACTACTACTACTACTACTACTACTACTACTACTACTACTACTACTACTACTACTACTACTACTACTACTACTACTACTACTACTACTACTACTACTACTACTACTACTACTACTACTACTACTACTACTACTACTACTACTACTACTACTACTACTACTACTACTACTACTACTACTACTACTACTACTACTACTACTACTACTACTACTACTACTACTACTACTACTACTACTACTACTACTACTACTACTACTACTACTACTACTACTACTACTACTACTACTACTACTACTACTACTACTACTACTACTACTACTACTACTACTACTACTACTACTACTACTACTACTACTACTACTACTACTACTACTACTACTACTACTACTACTACTACTACTACTACTACTACTACTACTACTACTACTACTACTACTACTACTACTACTACTACTACTACTACTACTACTACTACTACTACTACTACTACTACTACTACTACTACTACTACTACTACTACTACTACTACTACTACTACTACTACTACTACTACTACTACTACTACTACTACTACTACTACTACTACTACTACTACTACTACTACTACTACTACTACTACTACTACTACTACTACTACTACTACTACTACTACTACTACTACTACTACTACTACTACTACTACTACTACTACTACTACTACTACTACTACTACTACTACTACTACTACTACTACTACTACTACTACTACTACTACTACTACTACTACTACTACTACTACTACTACTACTACTACTACTACTACTACTACTACTACTACTACTACTACTACTACTACTACTACTACTACTACTACTACTACTACTACTACTACTACTACTACTACTACTACTACTACTACTACTACTACTACTACTACTACTACTACTACTACTACTACTACTACTACTACTACTACTACTACTACTACTACTACTACTACTACTACTACTACTACTACTACTACTACTACTACTACTACTACTACTACTACTACTACTACTACTACTACTACTACTACTACTACTACTACTACTACTACTACTACTACTACTACTACTACTACTACTACTACTACTACTACTACTACTACTACTACTACTACTACTACTACTACTACTACTACTACTACTACTACTACTACTACTACTACTACTACTACTACTACTACTACTACTACTACTACTACTACTACTACTACTACTACTACTACTACTACTACTACTACTACTACTACTACTACTACTACTACTACTACTACTACTACTACTACTACTACTACTACTACTACTACTACTACTACTACTACTACTACTACTACTACTACTACTACTACTACTACTACTACTACTACTACTACTACTACTACTACTACTACTACTACTACTACTACTACTACTACTACTACTACTACTACTACTACTACTACTACTACTACTACTACTACTACTACTACTACTACTACTACTACTACTACTACTACTACTACTACTACTACTACTACTACTACTACTACTACTACTACTACTACTACTACTACTACTACTACTACTACTACTACTACTACTACTACTACTACTACTACTACTACTACTACTACTACTACTACTACTACTACTACTACTACTACTACTACTACTACTACTACTACTACTACTACTACTACTACTACTACTACTACTACTACTACTACTACTACTACTACTACTATACTACTACTACTACTACTACTACTACTACTACTACTACTACTACTACTACTACTACTACACTACTACTACTACTACTACTACTACTACTACTACTACTACTACTACTACTACTACTACTACTACTACTACTACTACTACTACTACTACTACTACTACTACTACTACTACTACTACTACTACTACTACTACTACTACTACTACTACTACTACTACTACTACTACTACTACTACTACTACTACTACTACTACTACTACTACTACTACTACTACTACTACTACTACTACTACTACTACTACTACTACTACTACTACTACTACTACTACTACTACTACTACTACTACTACTACTACTACTACTACTACTACTACTACTACTACTACTACTACTACTACTACTACTACTACTACTACTACTACTACTACTACTACTACTACTACTACTACTACTACTACTACTACTACTACTACTACTACTACTACTACTACTACTACTACTACT